GAGTTTCCAGGAAGAAGATGGGGCCCCACAACGACTCCACCTGGTTGATATGACGTCATGATGCTGATAGCACCACAATAAGACCTGTTTTGGGTACCAGCTACTCAAGATGGTTTCGACTTGGTTAGCTGAAATAGTGCACCTTTTTACAGCATTCTGGCCAAAATTCTAAATAGGATCCTCAGAAAAACCTTACTGAATACTCAGAGACTGTTTGTAATTATACAAGACAGTAATCTTGAAACTTAACCATTATTTTACTTTCAATTTATAGAAAGAAAAAAAAAATCACCCCCATGACAGCTGGAAGTAATTCTAGAAGACAACGTCCCCTCTCCCAACAAAGTTTGTCCTCAGGGTTAGGGACATCAGTTAAGGGTTGATTATAATTGGTATAGGATTGGTGGTTGGGGTGGAAATTATGTAAGCTCAAAATCTCTTTTGTTTTTTAAATGGGAAATTGGATGGGATAATAGATAGATTAGTATGAGCAAACTCACACTAATCATAGTGCGTAATCGAGTGAATACTTATGAGCTATTATTTATAGGCAATTTACACTGGTATAAATTCTTGTATATTGTTACAAATTCAAATTGTATTGACTATGTTCTATAGAGAGGAGCTGTGGGCAGGCCTGCTTTTCGTCCCACCCGGCTCCTGCCCGGCTAGTTTTACACCCAAAATAACAACACACAAATTGTATTCTTTTAAATACTGCCTGGCCAGTTAGTTCTATCCTTTTATTGGCTAACTCTGACATCTTGATTAATTCATTTCTATTAATGTGTGTAGCACCATGAGATGGTGGCTTACCGAGAAAGATTCAGCATGTCTGATCTGGTGGCTGGATCCATGGCTTCTGCCCAGAGAGGAGAGGCATGGCGATTGCCTCACTTCCTCCCAGCCTTCTTTTCTGTCTACCCCACCCACCTAAGGGCTGGCCTATCAAATGGCCAAGGCAGTTTCTTTATTAACCAATAAAATCAACACAAAACAGAAGACCCTCTCACATTATTTCCCCTTTTTCTGTTTAAACAAAAAAGAATGCTTTAAATTTAACATAGCAAAATTACATATAACAAAACAGTTATAAAGCAAGAATTACAATCACAATATTTATATCTATTTTATCTTTTATCATAACTAAGGAAAACAACTATAACTATCTATCTATTCTTCAACTCCATCAAAGACTCCAGAAGAATATAATACTATGTCAGTAAACAAGAAATAAGGAACTGCCCATGCATCAACCACTGACAAAATGCATGATGTCTGGCCAGGACAAGCAGAATACAATAAAAAAGACTGTCAAATCTTGCCAAGGCAGGGTAAGACAGCTTTGAAAAATTTCCTGCCTCTGAAAATGGTCTGTCAGTTACTCTAGCCCTTAGCCAAATTTGGTTGCTTCAACATTGCAAGTGAGACTTGGGTGATTGCCCAGGAAGCCAGTTGTCTCTATCATTTGTTGCACATTTTAGAAGTTGCCTGATTGCAATTCCTGCTTACTCAAGTAATATTATTTCTCTTCTTAGATCTCCGATGGGTTTGAAGATTAGATAGTTGTAGTTACTTGGCCAAGTTATTTATAATACAAGACTTAGACTCCTTAGGATAGGATAATTATTGAAACATTTATCACGTGTTTCTTGCTTGATGTTTCTGCTGGTTAGAATTCTAATTTTTATACTTGATATTTGTTCTTATTGTATATAATTTTATATTAGGCCTACAACTCTCTAATTTAAACCAAAGGAGGAGGTGCTTAGTAAATCCTTCAGCCAGTAGTAGCATTTAGGTTACCTGCCCACTTGGGCATGGCCTCTTATCCTATAAATGCAGATGTGCACTCTCCTTCTCTTCTGGCTGCTGGATTCAGTTGTTGTTCCCTGTTCTAGGAGAGGACTGTGATCTGTGAGTCTACTCCTAAATAAATAACACTTTATTATATTCAATTCTAATCTAGTGTGGGATTTCTTTTTAGTGTCCGTCTTTATCCCCCATATATATTTGAGAAATATATATATATATTTAAAGGGGATTTATTTGAATGACGCATGGTGTGTGGTCTGGGTAGTCCAACAACGGCTGTCTCCTGGTGAAAAGAAGCTCTACAGTTGTTTAGTGCACAAGACCGGGTGTCTCAGCATCCCAATCTGGTGCTGGATTCCTGCAGGATTCCTAGAGGGCATCTGGTCTTCAGTGCACACCCGAGGAATACCTCAGCAGCAGAATAGATGAATTTGTTATGGAGAGTGAGGGAAGGCAGGCAGACAGTAGAATCCCTTCCATGTCCTTGTATGTGGGCTGCTACCAGATGATGTGGCCAAGATTTAGAGTACGTCTCCCTTCCTCAAATATTCCACTCAAAAAGTCCCTCATAGGTGTGCCCAGCAGTGTGGGTTTAGTTGACTCAAGAGTCATTGAGTTTGACAGCCAAGATTAGCCATCACACCCTGGAAGGAGCTGTGGAACCCTGGTTCATTCTCTCTCTCTCTCTCTCTCTCTCTCTTTCTCTCTCTCTCTCTCTGCTTTTTAGCTCCTGATGTAAGCAGTTCACTCCATGCATGCTCCCCACCATCATCATCTGTTACCATTACAGAGGCCCAAAGCTTCAGGACACACCTGCACACCTTCAGAACCACGAGCTACATAACCCTTTTTTCTTTATCAGCTAATTGACTAGCTGAGGAATACAGAAATTTGGTAACAAGGAAGAGGGCCATTATCACCCATGTGAGGAGGTGGAGGAGCCTTTGAAATTGGTTTGTGGGAAGAGTATGGAGGTTTTGGATGAACAAGTTAGAGCAATCCTAAAATGCTATTGAGAGGGCTGGATAGATAGCTCCATGGTTAATAGCACACACTGCTCTTCTAACGGACCTGAGTTCATCTCCCAAGTACCTAGGTCAGGGAGCCCACAGCCATTTATGACTCCAGCACCAGGGATCTGATGCTTTTAGCCTCAGCACTCTCAAGTACATGTGCTCACACACGCAAACACACACACATATAATTGCACATACTCGCACAGAGACAGATACACCCATGCACATTCTTGTATATACACATAGATATACACACATACACATGATTAAAAATAAAATAAATCTTAACAAACACGGCTAAGAGGAGCTTGATGTGGGACAGTTGTGATGGCTCTGAAGAGGACATTGATAGCAATGTGAATAGTGAAAGTCATGCTGGTGACATTTCAGATGAAAAGGATTGTTTGTGCAACTGGAGAAAAGGCCCTCTTACTGACACCGCGGCAAAGACTTGAACAATGCTGTGGCATTTTATGAATGGCCAATCTTAAAGACAATGAACTGGTTTACCTGACAAACACTGATTTTTTTTCTCTATTTTTTCATTTTTATTAGTTCTTTGATAATTTTGTACAATATATTTTGATCATAGTCACCTGTCCCAGACTCCTCATATATCTGTTTTTCCTTCCCATCTACCCAACTCTCTCCTCTTTACCTGCCCTCAGATCTGTCAAGGTCAGTTTCTGCTGCCCATATTCCCTTGGATGTGTGACTTTGACTAGAGGGTAGTCTTCCCATTGGGGTGGCACCCTTAAAGAAATCTGACTCTCCGTCTCCCAGCAACTATCATTGCCAAAAGCTCATTGGCTGTGGGGGGCTTCATGCCCACCCCCTTCACACACTGGAGTTTGGTCTGGCTGTGTTAATGCAGGTTTTGTGCATGGTGTCTTGGTGCTGTGAGCTCGTATATGCAGAAAGCACTGCCTCCTTACACTCAGCCACCTCTGGCCCTTATACTCTTCACACTTCCTCTTCTGCAATGACCTTTGAGCCTTGGGAGGAGGAGATCTGATATAGATGTCGCATTTAAGACTGAACATTACTCGGTCTCTTATTCTCTGCACCTTGATCAGTTGTGGGTTTCTATGTTGGTTGCTATCTACTGCAAAAGGACGCTTCTCTGATGAGTGTTGGATAGATTCACAAATCTGGGTCCACGCCACATGTCTTGCAGAGATTTTAGGACATCACATCATAGGAATTACTGGCTGCTTTCAGCCACATACACAGTGAGGTTAGAAAGACTGGAGAGACCTGTAGTTTAGTCAAAAAGAGGAAAAGTATGTAAAGGTGTGGGCAAGAAGGTTGCAGCTGCTAAGCCTTAGCAGTTGTGTTGGCTAGACTTATGTCAACTTGAAACATTAGGTCAATAGGAAAAATGTCTCAAGAGTTCCCCGGAAATCAGCAAGTGCTAAGTGTAGAAGCACAGATGTATTTCAAAGACTTTCTACTGTAACTCGTTTCAAAATTACGCTCCAGGGAAGCCTGCGGGTCCCCAGGATTCCACTTCTGTGTTGAGCAATTGCCATGGATTAAGTAGAGCCGAGCAGCTTGTTCCAGCAGCAGACATTGGTGAGTCTACACGACACTAGCTTTACCCACTGTGACAGAGTGCAAGAGTTACACAGCCATGACCATTTCAAAACCTCTGGACGGTCAGCCAGTGAGTTACAGAGCTGAAGTTCCTGCAAAAAACTCTCTGAATGGGTGTTGCATAGTGGAGCCGTGGGAGTCAAGTGAGTGTCTGCAAGGGTGACAGTGGGAAGAAGCATCAGGAACGTGCAATGCCTGCCAAAGGAAGCTGCATGCGGCCGACAGAGGCAGCCCAAGCCAGCAGTCAAACTGATTTTAACCACCCCACACAAAGCATGCCAACAAGACGGAAACATAAGCACACACAAGGGCATACACATGAACACACATGAAAATAGGCTCAAAGATTTTACAGATTTCCTTTCGATTTCTCATTTGTCCATTTTAAAGATTAGCTCGCAGCTGATTATTTCCTACATGGTGCTAGTAATCCTTACTCTGAAATCTGTACTTCCAGAAACATCTCTCAGAATGTTCTTAAATTAGGCCAAAGGGCAGCAGGTGCAGTTTGGTTCTCTAGACATAAGGTAGTATTTTCACCTGTTTCCAAAAGCTAAACATTCAAGGGGGGAGGTATTTTTACTAATGGGAAAATATTCTGCAATATTAATTTTAGGTCATTTTCTTCTTTACTTTAACTTACAGCTACTTTGTTATACTCCCTGTGCGTACCTCTGTGTCTAGAAGAGAAAGAAGAAGAAGGAACAAACAACCTGGACTTCTCACACATTTTTCCTACCCTACACTAGGCAACATTAGCCTGTTCTGTATTTAAACCAAGATACGGTGAGTTTCCTCCTGGGCTGGACACTACAGCCTCATTCAGAGTAGCAAATTAATGGCTCGGGTGGCTAATTTTCAGACGATGTCCCTAGATACTATGAACACACCAAATTTCAACTTGCACACACATGCACGCGCGCACGCACACGCACACACACGTATGCACGTTATCTGAATGAAGAAATAGCTCCTCACATGTATTTGCTGACTCTGTGTGAGAGCTTGTGCATGTTTGTATAAACACATGTGCACATCTGTGCCACAGTACATGTGTGGAGGTCAGAGGACAACTCACAAAAGTTGGTTCTTTCCTTCCATCCTATGAATTACAGGGCTAGAACTCAGGTCTTCAGGCTTAGCTTTAGCACTGGGCCACCTCAGTGGCTATCTTTGGGCTTTAAAGACATAGTTATATAGAGAGAGCAGCCGGGCAAGCGAGATCTCATGGATTCATCCGTGCTGGTCTTAGAAAGCTATAGAAGCTCTTTCCTCAAAATACCACTCAGGCTTAGCCAGAAATAGGCAGGAATCCGTTGTGATGGGTAAGGGATAAATGCTGTAAATGCAAGCTGAGAAGACAGTGTCACGGAGGTCAGCAGGGTGCTCAGATGTGCAGGCCACAGTCTCATGGGACACATTAAAGCAGAAAAGTAGGGAGCATGATTAGGAAAGCGGGGAAGGTCGAGGGATAAACTGGAGCACAGAGGCAACCGTTCTTAATGTTTGGGGACCAGAATGTAATGTTTCATGAAGCTTGCTCCTCTGAGTATTGTCCCATTTCAGCGCACCTCAGCAGGGTGTCAGGTGGCTCTCCTGCAGGCAAAAGAGTAGCTTGGGATATTGGAGGATCGGTCCCTACCACGATGTCCCCGTTGACGGTTCTGCATTGTTTCCAGGAACAGGGTATGCATAGCTCCAAGGAGATGCCAGTCCTTGGCCTTCTGATGGCATTCATTAACTACCACATGAGCCCTTTTTTGGCTTGAAAACCAAGGTGAAGAAACCAGAGTACCATGGAAGCAAAGAGCAGAGCTGAGGACCTAGGTGCAAGTCAAGGGCACTCAGCGACTGTGTTTCAGAATATCCCTGTGTGAGTCATCAGGGGTGTCACAGACAGTGCGGCAGGGGTGGGAGACACAGCGCCACACCACCATCTGCAGCAGCCTGAGAAATTCTGTTAGGAGATTTCCACTCAAGTGAAGCTGGGTTTCTCAACCTTACCACCGGAAAGAATTTCTGGGTAAGTCAGTAGGAAGCAACATTGAAGCTTGTTAAAAGCTTTGAGGCCTGAAAAGAGGAGATGGCACGAAACTAGGCTGTATGCTGGGAGAAAGAAGGGTGGAGTCAGAGAGCCACCTGAGACAGACATGCTGAAACTTTAGCCAGAAAAGAGGCTGGATGTGTGCTTTACCTTGGCATAAATAGTGTAAGAGGCCATGTCCAAGTGGGCAGGTAACTTAAAGGCTCCTGGCGGTAGGTAGGAATTCCTGCAGCATGGCCCACTGGGAAAATGGTTGCAGAGCAAGCTTGAGGGCCTGAGTTTGAATCCCCAGCATCCGTGGGAAATCCAGTTAGTGTGTAGCCCTGGGCTGGAGGGAGGAGTTAGGTGGAGCCCAGAAGCTGACTGGCTAGCCAGTTTAACTGAGATAGTACGCTCCACGTTCAGTGAGAGATCTCATTTTAAAAACATGAGATAGAGAGTAATGAAGACATCCTGATGCCAACCTCTGGTCTCCACGTGTGCCCACATGGATAAGCTCAGCTGCAATCACATGTGTGCACATATGTACCAACCCCTTGTCAACACAAAGAAATACCTAAGTATAGACACTAACTATAGGGAGGGGGAGGAAGAATAGTGTTGGCTCCTCGTGGTAGGTAGCCCAGAAGGCCTCGGTTTCATGATGGCTCTGCCCTTATCACCTTCATGCATTTGTGCCACCCAAGCCTCCAGGTCAGTGGTTCTCGACCTTCCTAATGCTGCAACTCTTTAATACAGGTCCTCATGTCGTGGTGACTCTTCAGTTGGAAGCTCTGCCTCAGCCCACTCCTCCCTCTCCAAACCCTGACTGCTCAGAAAGACCATCAAAAGTCCAGGCTCCTCCCCCCAAAGCTCAAGACCACTCCTGCAGAGTATTTAGGCTCCCGGTCCCTAGATCTGCCATCTCAATTCTGGGGGGTTGAAAAGGTCACCTGAGAATGCTTGGCTCATTAAACCTGGTCTTTTTAATTTGACTTGATCTGGCTTACTGTGTCAGTAGAGAAACCCACTATCAAGGATCCAAAAATAACCATAAAATTATTTTTGCTTCTATTTCATAACTGTAATTTTGCTACTATTACAAATTATAATATAAATGTTTGTGTTTTCTGATGGTCTTAGGCAAGCCCTCTGAAAGGGTCATTTGACCCCAAAAGGGATCCTGACCCACAGGTTGAGAACCCCTACTCTAGACTTTTTTTTTTTTGACAGATGTACAACATGGTGTATTTTGTAGATTAGCTCCTTATCAAATCGATGATTTAAGAAGATTTTTTTCCATTCCATGGCCTGAATCTACATTTTATTGATTACTTCATTTGTTGCTCAGAAGGTTCAATATTGTCCCATTTGTTTATTTTTGTTTTTATTATTCATTTTGTAGCTTAACCAAAAAAATTCATTACCAAATGTTTGAATGGAAGCTTCACCCCAGTCCCTGACATTTATGTATCCAAAGAGTCTGTAATGTTCAGATGGAAGCGTCACCCCAGTCCCTGACATCCATATGTCCAAAGAGTGTGAAATGTTCAGGTGGAAGTTCTAACCTAAGCCCACTTCCCTTGGAGTTGCTCAGTCCAAACTCTGCCCCTGAGAAAGCCTGCCAAATGATGACCCCTCCCCAGAGATGCTCAAGACCACTCCCACAGGGTATTTAAACTGTCCCCCAGAAAACAAACACGTGGTTTTCAAGTCTTCCTTTCCTGTCTCCTCTCTGGAGAGCTGGAAAGCCATCTGGGAGCGTGGTATCCATCAAACCTGGGCTTTTTCTAATTCTGTTTTTGTTTTGTCTGATTTGGATTACTACATCAGCAGAGAGGCTTATTGGGGTGCAGAAACTTTTCATGTATAGGTACCACTGAGGGGCTGTTTCTCTCCCACTGGCCCAGGGCCATGTGGTGAGAAAACCCCTTTCTCCCCTGTACCTGCTCTCCATCAGGCTAAGATCAGTTTTCAACTGGGAAAGTTGTCCTTTCCAAATCATTGCCTTAGAGGCCCAGGGCCTCCTGTGATATGGGGGGTGTCCTACCAAAGACTCAGCTGTGTCAGACCTCTGACCTGTTACTGGGACAAGGACCTGCCTTTTTGTCCAAACAGCTGGACCTCACTGTCTGTGGATGGCAGCCATGCTTGAGATCTCTGGCAGCAGCAGCTGAACTCACCTGGGAGGCTCTCAAGAACACCCTGTTCAAGCCCGTCATGGTATAGTCCACCCATGGCCTCTCAGAACTTCTGAGTCATTCTTCTCTCTTCCTCCTTGGGCCTTCAACCCCAAATTACCTTGGCCTCCAGTCCTGCCCTAAACCCTGCAACCCTCCTTCCTGTCCCCTCCCTCTCTGGTACCTCCTCTCACTCCTGCCTAGAGGCTGTGATGGCCTTATGCTCACCTTGGCCTGTCTTCTAGATCAACCACTTACAAATCCCCCACTCCCTCCTGTTTGTTGATGGAAGTTCCTTTATAGACAGGTCAGGGAACCACCAGGTAGCACAAGCAGTGGTCACTTCCACTAAAACAATTGAAGTGACCCGCCAGACTATGGGAACCTCTTCACAAAGGCCAAATTAATTGCTTTGACTAGAGCACTCCAGATAGCCAAGTGTCAATGAGCTAACATCTATACTGACTCTAAATATGCCTTTCTAATAGCCCATAATCATCTGTCCTCTGGAAGGAAGGGGGCTTCCTCACTACCAAGGATACTCCCGTAATTAACTGGCCCTTACAGCCAAGCTCTTGGAGGCCCTCCAGCTTCCTGTAGAAGTAGCCATAATTCACTACTGGAGACACTAGTCCTCCAAAGACCCAGGGGCCTTAGGCAATGCCAAGACTGACTCGTTAGCCCAAGGGCTAGCCTCCAGCTCCTCTGGATCAACAGAACATATTTTGGTTTTGACTCACTCCTATTAGCCCTGTTATCAACCAGAAGACAGGGACAAACTCATGGAAAAGGGGGCCACACAAAGGATTGATGGTTCTACCTAAGTAGCAGTCTCATCCTTCCACAGGGCCAGGCATTGCTTATCATTTCAGACATCCACCAGACCTTACACATAGGCCCCAAGGCTTTGTTCCATTTCGTAGAGCACCTCTTTGACCCTACCCATCTCTGAGCACGTATTTCACGGTTCACTCCTCCTGCCAGACGTGTGCCAAGGCCGATCCATAGGGGCCTTTGTACCAGCTTCGTGGACATCAACCGGGTGAAGATTGGCAGGTTGATTTCACTCCTGTGTCCACTCATAAAAAACTCCATTACCTCCTAAGGTTGTTGACACTTTTACAGGATGGATAGAACTGTTTTCCACCTCCAGGGAAAGAGCAGGTGTGGTGGCCCAGGTACTCCTGGACTACATCATTCCTCCATCTGGCGTGCCACAAACCATACACATGGACAATGGGGCCAGCCTTCACTTCCAGGGTCATTGAGCTCATGTCAGAAGCTCTCAGCATCTTCTGGAAGCTTCACACCCCCTAACATACACAATCCTTGGCAAAGGTGGGAACAGCCAATGGACTCATCAAGCAACAGCTAACCAAGATTTCCATTGAACTCAGGTTATCTTGGCCCTTCCTTCTCCCCATTGCCCTTACCCACATCCAGGCCACCCCACATTCTCCTACAGGTCTAAGCTCTTGAGAGCTCCTTTATGGCAGGCCCTTCCTCCTCCATCACCACCTCCTGACCCAAAGGCCTCCACTGGCTGGGTCTCTACCCTACCTCCCCCCTTCTGAGGTCCCTTCTCCGTTCACATGCTGACAGCTTTCTCCCTGCCCCCACACCAACAGACCCAACTGCACCTGAGCCTGCTCTTGCTGGGGGACAGAGTACTCCTCAAGCAGCTAGTTCCTAGGTTTTTTTTTGAGCCTTCATGGACAAGACCTAACACAGTGATCCTCACCACAACTTTGGCTGCCAAGCTCCTGGGACAACCATGCTGGTACCACCTCTCCAGGTGTTCAGGATACTTGGTCTGTCCAGCAGTGGGGACCCTCCGGTTTTTCAAGATGTTGCAATGAAGGGCCTATCTGCTCTTCTTCCTGACACACTCATCTTTGTCGGTACAGCCAAGGCATGATAACAATCTATTTTTTCTCCTAGCAACCTGCCTTCTCAACTCTCTCAGGGAACAGATGCCTGAGGCCTCCAGGAAGGCAGTTAACTGGATGCCTCTCCACCCACAACTCCCAACTCTCCCCTCCCCCAAGTGGCACCATGCCCGCAGGAAGCAGCCAGACATGGACCGGCATCCATATATCCAAAGAGTCTGGGATGTTTGGATGGAAGCCTCACCCAAACCCCTGACATCCTCATATCCACAGAATCTGGAATGTTCTGATGGAAGTTCAATCCCTAGTCTCCTTCCCCTGAGAAATTCCACCAAACATTGACCCCTCTGCAAAGATGCTCAAGACCACTCTTACAGGGTATTTAAACTGGCATCCAAACAACAAACAAGTGGTTTTCCAGTCTTCCTTTCTTGTCTCCTCTCTGGGGGTGGCTGAAAAGCCATTCAGGAGCATGGTATCCATTAAACCTGGACTTTTTCTAATTGAGTTTTATTTGGTCTGATTTGGATTATTGCGTCAGTAGAGAGGCTTATTGGGGTGCAGAAACTTTTCACTAAAACCAATGTTTTCTTCTGGAAGTTTTATGGTTTCAGTGAAGTGACTGAGATAATGTTATCTTGTCTTGATCTTACCTTGTCTCCAGTTTGTGTCTGCTCAGGCATTTTTCAGCCCCTAGTTTGTAGCATGATTAGTAAAAACCTGGAAACAGATATTAAGGTTCAACCTGAAAGCCAGAAAAGCGAAACAGCCAGTCACTCGCTCTTACCTCTACCTCAGTCTGAAATGGTGATACTGCCTCCAGGAATCTCAGAATAAGACTATGTCTGAGAGCTGTTTCCTCCCAACTTACATTCCTCTCTAGGGCTGAGATTAAAGGCTTGCACTACTGCCCAGTTCCTATGGCAAACTAGTGTGGCTACTGAGATTAAAGGTGTGTCACCACTGACTGGACTGTAAAGCTGACCAATGGGGCTGTTTTAGTCTCTGACCTTCAGGTAAGCTTTATTTATTGAAAATACAAAATAAATAGCACTACACTAGTTCCCCGAACAATCACATCAGCCCTGGCATCATATTCAGGACATCCTATGACCTTGACCAAAACCCAGATGTCCAACCAAAACAGCCACTGTGTTCTGAAAAAAACTGATGTCGCAAGGTTCCCCTGACCTACACCTGACAATTGTGTCATTGAGGTTTTCCTGTATAAATGTTGTCCTCCGGAGTTTCAATCCCAAGAGGTTTTCTAAGACCCCAGCCAGTTCATGGTCACTGGCTAAGAAAGGGACTCTCATTTAGCCTGATATGGGGTGGTGGTCTGTAACTTCTCACAGGTCCTACAACATCAGGTTTTGCAGTTAAGTCTTTTGTGTGTGGTGTATCATAAGGGCCACATCTCACCCTCTTGCATGCAGAATTCTAGTTTTCTCCCCATCACTATTGAATTCCAATCTGTGAAGGGTGGGAAAACATGAAATTTGAAGGGAAAAGATGAGGAAATGGGGAGGGCATTGGCTTGGACAGGAGGGAATGGAGGGCGAACCTGATGCAAACACATTATACCAAGGCACATAATTATCACCCTATTCTTTGGTGGTATAACAGCTTGTGCCAGGTTAGCACTTGTGGTCAGCCACATTGGTTACCAAATGAAAAGATGCCTAATGAATATGAGCAAATGTCAGATCAGTCTGGAAGATAGTGACCTGGGTGGCTGCCACAAAGATTCTCATTTCTTAGAGCATATCCTTGACCACCCTGGGCACAGTTTGATGAACAGAGCGGAGAGAAGGATGAAACAATCCTTTTCTGAAAGACCAGGCACTCACAAAGAAAGAAAAAACACAAAAAAAAACAAAAAAAACCCTAAAA